TTTTTTTTTTTTTTTGTCCACTTATTTTTCGTTTTTTTTTTTTAAATAAATCACCCTTTTTTCATTACCCAAAAAAATAAAATAAAATAATCAATATTTCACCTTACTATAGCAGGAAAGTGAAAATGGGGCCACCAAAAGCAAAACCAAACAAGATATCATTTTTATGTATAGCTGGAAGCCTGGAAAGTGGAAATGGGGCCACCAATGTGGAGTGGATGGCATTTTTGCAGGAATCACAATCCTAAACGCTATCAAGAAAAGTCGTCCACAACCACAAGAAGAACCCTACCAGAGCAAGAACCTAAGCTGGACCAAAGCACTATCAAAAAACGTCTGTGTGGGATATGATGTCAAAGAATTTTATTATTTTTTTTTTTAAAAAAAAAAAACAGTTTACAAAATCCATAATGCCCCATAGATATATGGTGAAAATCGATTTTGCTATGAAGGCAACAGTTGGCTTCATAGTGGAATTAACCTTCTATATACAACAAGTAAACCATACCATATTCTCTAATTACTTAAATAATACTATTAATTTCATTAATATGGCATGGTTTACTTGTTGTATATAGAAAATTGGTTCACTGTGGAGTCAACTGATTGTTTCATAGCAAAACCGTGGTAAAAATACTACTAGAATCAATGTTAGATGATTTTATATCCATTTATTAGATATGATGTCAAATCAACTAAATGATATATCTTAGACATATCTAAGGTAACTACAGAAATTTGAATAAGTTAATTATTATTACCGATATATACCAATTGTAAGCGATACATAACAACTTTCTTTTAATAGTAATACAATATTTTTTTGTTCGGGAAGGTTTTTGGCGCCAAAAAGTGAGTGAGTGGCCGATCTTATATAGAGTTATTAATGCATTTTTTCGTGCTATACCTCCCAACGTAATAATATTTCAAAGTCTACAAAATTGACAGGTGCTTCATTTTCTCACAAGAAAAGTCCTCTCAAATATCTACCTTGCATTCTCCAGCAATGCTTGGAAAGACACCCGACGACCTTGACGATAAAAGTCCACTGATACGACTTTCCCATGACAGTAATAAAATTAAAACAAATTCTCAGCATTCAGCAACCAGCACTATATAGATCTCACACTCCATTCAGCAGCAATAATTGTTCC